AAACTGGAAACTTACTTGGGACAGGGATGATCGAGTAGCTTATAGAATTTCTGCTGAATGTCGGCGGTACAGAAGCCAATGCGATACTTCTTGCTATAGAAATCGGAACGATTGCGAGCTTCAAGTTCGCGATAAGGCAGCTTTTCCAGTGTAAATAGAACCTGCATGGAAACATTTTATACATATATTCAGTATAAATATTTATATATAAAACACAAGCATATATAAGGACTTACCTTGGACAGCACATGCCGACAGATGGGGCACTCGTTCTGCTGGCACAATACCCTCATACGTGTAGAGCATTCATAGCAAACGGGATGATCGCAGTCTCCGATTGAATAGATTTCCACGTTCTTAAAGCACACCACGCACGCGTTATCATCGTTGCCCACTTGATTGTAGGCAGCCTCCGTGGTGTTAAGCTTTGTGTTCGATTCGCTTTTCTTGACGCTTGTAACTTCTGCAGCTGCGGCTGGTCGACGGTGTGGCCTCGACGATGAGCCTCTCGATCTTGAGTTCTGCATGGCAATAGAGGGGGAAATTTCTACTTGTTGCCAAAAAAAAAAAAGGAGACCTGCAGCAAGTATAGTTTTGTTGCTAATTGCAGCACTGTATGCTGTGTATTTGAAGTCGGGTAGAAAGCTTAAAAATTCGTATACGTATTGCGTTTATGCAAAGACCTTGATCATCAGGTTGCCGAGTAGCAATTTTTATCCCAAAATCAAAGCGACGACTTACAATTTCTCTGAATTTTTGTCAGCGTGGAGAATGATACAACTAGTATTATTCGATTAGCTATTTAAAATAATCGAATCAATTGCTTGGCATATATACGGCCTCACTGTGGCGAAATTCCACGAATACCAAATATTAAAGTCAATAACATGACAGTGAAAACATGAAAACGAGCTGTTTTTGTGTATTTAAAAAAAATAACTATGTGACATATTGTACGCAGTTTTTATTATAGTTTCAACCAATTTGTTAGCAGTCAGCACATCGCAATGTAATTAAAGTATTTTCTTTGGTATTTTTTTTACCACCAAGTCTGGCAACACTAGCTAAGCAGAATGTTCGCAGAAATTACAAGGAGTTCATATATTGCTTTCTCACGTGTACTAGGTAGGCGTTCATTCCGGCCAATTTGTGCAGTGTCAGAAGTAACATTTAGCCGCAGTTATAGGCAATTACATATCCAGAGTCTACGGAAAACAAACTTAAAAATGCCGCTGTACGAAACAATTGCAAAAGGCGCCATAAACTCGCCCAACTACAGCCTATATTTCAGTAAGTATGCAAAAAGGAGCGCAAAAATGCCGCTCCTTAGGTAATTAAGCCCAAATAAAATAAAAACATAGCAGCCAACTATTGAAATAAACAATTATGCAACAAGTTGCTGTTAATTAAAAGAAAGAAAAAAACAAAAAAAAACGCTGCTTTATCAGCAATTCGCGCGCGGCCGGCGCAAGCTTTGCCGGTGACACCGGACAAGGTGAATCGGTTGATGCCGAACGACCTGTGGACTTTAAAATTTAATGGAATTTTGATTATAAAACGGATATAGCATATCTTAATTTGAGTCATAAATTCAATATCCAGCTGCTGTTTGAAGAACTTGTCAACAGCGTGGCTACCTTTGCGCTCGCTGTTTTAATTAATCAAGCGTTTGCGTGCTCAGTTTTTCGGACGCAAATAAATTACAACTGCTAATTGCTATTTGAATATTATTTGCTGTAGAAAACAACTGCGGCAATGTCATTTCACCCATGCACGACATTCCATTGTACGCCAACGAGGAGAAGACCATCTACAACATGGTCGTCGAGGTGCCACGTTGGACGAACGCCAAAATGGAGGTAAATAGCATAATTATCGATAGATAATTTTGATAAACATTCGAATGGCGTGTTTTGAAATGCAATTTTAGATTAGCCTGAAGACGCCCTTGAATCCCATTAAGCAGGACATCAAGAAGGGTAAATTGCGTTTTGTGGCCAATTGTTTTCCCCACAAGGGCTACATCTGGAACTATGGCGCCCTGCCACAGACCTGGGAGAATCCCAATCACATTGAACCTTCCACTGGCTGCAAGGGCGACAATGATCCCATTGACGTTATCGAGATCGGGTATCGTGTGGCCAAACGCGGCGATGTGCTGCAGGTCAAGGTGCTGGGCGCCATCGCGCTCATCGATGAGGGCGAAACGGACTGGAAAATCATTGCAATCAATGTTAACGATCCGCTGGCCTCAAAGGTCAACGATGTTTCCGATGTAGATCAATATTTTCCGGGTCTGCTGCGTGCCACCGTCGAGTGGTTCAAGGTACTTCCTCATCGGACTTACATTCTATATATATTTATTTTCTTTTATTAATGCTATGCCTTCAATTTGGCCTAGATTTACAAAATACCCGATGGCAAGCCAGAGAATCAGTTTGCGTTTAATGGAGATGCCAAGAGCGCAGACTTTGCCACCTCCATCATTGCGGAGACGCACAAGTTCTGGCAAACCCTGATCAATCAGTCCAATGTGGGCACGCCGGAAATAGCTTGGTTTGTTTATATTTATCATATAACATAATATCATATCAAACTAATTGCATTTCTAGCCAAAATATAACCAATCGCCATTCGGAATTCGTAATTGGCAAAGAAGAGGCTGCCAAAATACTCGATGAAGCCCCAGATGGCGGCGAGGTCGAGGAAGTGGTCGACACAGGTAAGGTTTACTATGTTCCCGCTAAGCTTTAATACACGCCAAATCAAACACAGCACAAAATTGGATTCCAAATTCCAATTCTGCATGCTATACTAACCCAAAGACAAATCAAATCGACACAAACCAAAACCAAATGTCCTGCTGTAAATATTGCTTTAGATCTATGCACACTTTTGTAATTGGCTTTGCTTGTTTATTGTTTATTTATTGTTAAATGTAATTGTTAATAAATATTGTGTAATTTGTAAACAAATCTCTTCTATCTATTGTCTTACAGTCGACACTTGGCATTTCATACATCTCAAGTGAACCGCACGCGCGACTGGAATAGATTGCCCAAGATTTTCAATTGAATTCCAACACACTCGATGTAAAACTTGAAAAAAGAAAAACAACTCACATTTAAAAAATGAATAAAGCTCTAATGCAAGCCCAAAGTGCGGGCAAAAATTGGTACAACTTCTTCACTTGAAATATACAGTTTTTATTTATATTTTACGACTAGATCCAAAACAAGTTTAAATTAATTAGGGTACATATAATGTAATATCGAAATATGCTGTGTGGTAATTATGTGTGTGTTTTGTGGATTTCTTCGCGCAATGCAATTAGAATTAGAACGTAAACGTAACAAATTAACTTAATTGCTTAAAGGATAGGCAAAAAATTTACAAAATATCATATATGTAAGGTATTTGTATGTGTAGCAAAAAAAAAAAAAACAAATTATTTATCTTTATATACATCAGACATTTTTTCGTTTCCATTTCTTTTGTTTGCTTTGTCCTTTGCTTGAACCAAAAAAAAAAAATAATAAAATAAAAATAAAAGAAGATACATAATTCTGGCGTGATACATATACATATATATATATATATAAAGAGAGTTGAATAACTAAACTTAAATCGGGGCTCCCTAAAGCGAAAACAATTGTACAAAACCTTCTAAGCAAGAAGAAAAACAGACATGAAGAAATGTTACACTGTCATATATATGTATATATATATTTACTTGAGTATGTTTATTATTTATGTATTATTATGCATTATATATTCATTATGTTCATTTTCACTTAAGAGTAATTCGCGTATTTTCGGTGATTAATTTAACTCGTGTGCTTGTTCTCTTGTATTTGTCGGTAGTACGTGTGTGTGTGTGTGTGAAAGAGAGTATATAATATATGTAGGGATAACTCGTATTATGCGTTTAGCTATGGCTCTATGCCGCCTTCAAGTCAAGCCCGTCCGTCCGTTTACTTGCGTCCCAGGGTATCGCGCCATTCGTTGTACTTGTCCATTTCCTCGTGCAGCTGCAGCGCCTCGACGCAGGCATTGAAGAACGGCGATCCGAAGCAGTCTTGCCTGTTTTATGGAATTGCAAAGAAATCCAAGCATTACAATATGATCAGTAAAAGTGCGAAGGGGTTTTTATTTGAGGCGCCCCGCCCCGCTCACACAGTGTGGAGCCAAAAGACAAAAAATCTGTTTTGTTTGTGCCCGTTCAAAAAACATTGTTGGCCGCTCGTCCATGGTGAAAAATTCAAAATGGCAATTGCACTTGACAAAACAAATGGCAAAAATCAAAAACGTAAAAATATATATATACATATATATAAAAAAAATTAGAAATTTCAAACTGAAAACGTACCACAAAATAAAAACGGTAAGCGCGCGTTTTTAGTCGCGCCGGAAACGCGCCAAGCATCTACGTCAGCTGCTGCACTTGTTGCGAACGCTCTCTGCTCTCGCGCTCTTTGCCTTTTCGCTCTCACGTTGTGCGCTCTCTTTTTGCGCTCTCCCTGGTCAGTGTCGCATTCTAATTTCATTTATCACAATTTTGGATGCCCTCAAATAGCCAGCGATTGTTTTGTTCATTATTTAACATAAATATTAATAATTTTTTTTTCTTCTTTTTTTTTTTTTTTTCAACTACATTTCGAATGCAGTTTTGTTTTTTCTGTTCGCTTTTGCGTGTTTTTACCAAAGGTTTTTTTGTTTTGTTTGTGTTTTGCACAAATTGCGTTATAGGCTTAAATATTTTTATGTATTCGTGGATATATAATTTTTCTTTTTTTTTTTTGTTTTCTTTTCTTTTTGCCAACAAATTTTACGCTAATTATGTTTTAAAACTTTACAAAATAGCACAAAAATCTAATACATTTGCAAAATACTTTCGGTCTTGTGTGTGCGTGTGTTTGTGTGTGTGTGTGTGTGTGTGTGTGTGTTTGTGTCTGTGAATAGCTTTTGTTTTGTTTTCTCTTTTTTCAGTATTTTTATCCTTTTTTTGTCTGCCCTTTGATGTAAATGCTGCTTGGAATACGCGATATATTTTTGTTTTATAGTTTTTTTTTATGTTTTGTTTTCTTCTTCTTTTTGTTTTTGTTTTTTAAATACAATATAAAAAATAATAATTATACATTAAATAAGTATATTAAAAACAATGGATCTTTTATTTTACATACATAACGCAATAATAAACAAGCTAAGAATACTTAGAAATAAATACTTCTTCGGCTACGGGGTACGCTGTCATGGTACTGAGAGGTAGACCCCCACCCTCCCTGATACCGTACTTTCGCCCGTTTTTCCCCCCTTGCGTGCGTGTGTGTGCTTGCTCACTCGCACTCGTTCCCGTACATACATACATATACCCCTGCCCCCCGCGGCCCCCCCACATATGTTCCCGTGTCCCTCACTTACAACAAACGCATAACGTTTCAATAAATTAATTAAAATAATTCGTTTTTTAAAAAACACATATAGTAAAAACTGTAAGGCATACAGTAATAAATAAGTACGAATTAAATTTGGGCGTTAAACATTTAATTTGTTGTTCTGCTTGTTGTTGTTGTCGTTGTTGTTGTTGTTATTGTTATAGTTGTTCTTGCTGCTGTTTCTGTTGTTGATTGTGTGGTTCAAGTTCCGAGCCGAGCCGAGCCGAACCGAACCGAAACGAAACGAAACGAACCGAAACGAACCATATGCGAACTGGAATCTCTTGAACTTGTTCTTCCATTTCGTTGTGTGTATCGCGTGAGTGTGTGTGCCTGTGTGCGTGTCGCTGCGTGTGGCTGCGTGTGTAACTGCGGATAGGTGGATGTCTGTGTCTGTGTGCGTGTGCGTGTGCGTGTGCGTGTGCGTGCGTGTGAGTGGCTTCTGGTGGTATTCGGTGGTGGTTCTAACCAACCACTTCGAGTTATGTAACCGGCGCCATGTTGAATGATATGGGCGAGCCATTTACTACTTTTATAAAATGTTGTAAATTTGTTATTTCTTCTGTTGGTGTTAAAAGCACTTTAACGCATTCGCCAAACCATTTGGAATCAAAGCAGTCTTTCCTAAAATGCACACAGAAAGAAAACAAACAAACGTACAAATCAAATAATACAAAATCAAGAAAGTTTCAAATAAATCATATCAAATCAAATCAAATCGAAGCACACAAGTTAACAAATTAGAAATTAAGTAGAAAATCAATGTATAAGACATCTAATATTTATAGACAACGGGCTTGTGAAAGGGATAGGGCGAGCCATTGATAACTTTTAGATAATGCTGCAGCTGTACAATCTCTTCATCATCGATGAGCAGCACTTTAAGGCATTCTCCGAAGGTTTGATGGGCGAAACAATTGGCCCTGCAGCAAATAGACAGAAAGAAGATACAGCTAGCATAGATTGATAGACAGATAGATAGATAGATAGATAGATGGATAGATAGTTGGAGAGAATGTACAAGAGAAAACTAGAAAACAGCTAGATACATAGATTTGTTTTTAGAAATATAATAGTTTCCTGTGTTTTTTTTTTGTTTTGGTATAACTATGTCAGGGTCATATTTTTTAAGAAAAGTATTCTTGTTTTTTTTTTTTTGCGATTTGGCGCCTTGAATTGCTTTCAAATTGTTGTTGGACCCTGTCGTTGAGGTTAAGGAAGAGTGGATAGGAAATGTAGGAATAGGGTATCTCAATTGCTAGACGAATTTGCTTGGATTTGGTTAGTCAGTGGGCGTTGGCTTAGCTGATCGCAAACACTTACTTGCATAGTCGATGTATACTCGTCTCACGGAACAATTGGTAACAGTCCTCACAGATGCGATCCAGGCGAAAGAACATCGTCTTGTTGAAGATGCCCTTGCATTCCAGATCAAAGAAATTGCTGCGCTTCGATAAATTGTGATTGTGTGGCAACGCTGTGAATATGGGTATCAAGACAAGAAACAGCACCACCGAGATCTTTATGTTGCGGGAACACATCTGCAAAAAAGAAAACAAAACAAAACAAATCAAAATTTATAATTAACAAACACACGAGTTTAAATATAAGAATAAAAGAAATCTCTGGTTTTTTATTTTTTTATTTCTACACTTAAACTAGATTTCGTAGTCGCTGCAACCTGAAGTTGAACTCTGCCAGCGCTATACTTACGCTCTGATCTGATAATGCTCAAGTAGCCGAGTACCGGAAATAGTTTAAAAATAGCACAATTTACTGTCTGGCCCGGCTATTAATAGCCCGTGTCGGTACACTTAAGTTCTGCTTTGGTTAGCGTGCGGCAGCTAACCGCTTACTGGGTAAATGGATATGGGCCAAGCTGAACCTTGAAACCGCAAAAGGGCCCGTGGACTGGCAGGCGGGGCACGACGCTTTGGACGTCGGCCATGGGTAATCAAAGCGAAAGGGGGGGGAGAGTGCGAGTACTTGTAGATCGTAAATCGTAGACCAGAGGCAACTATAAATAGAGCCTGTCTGCAACTGCAAAGTGTGTGCTAAAAATAAAATGAATTTCGTGTTGATCTTGCTTTATCTGTTGCCCATCTGCATTCGGCGTCTGCATAAAGGTGTCCACACACACACACACACACGCTCTCTCTCTCTCTATAAATAAAACGCGCAATTTCAATGTTTATTGCATTATTTGCAAATCTGTCGACTTGGCTAATTTACGAGTCCAACTGGGCTCAAAGGCGAGCCGCAGTCCAACAACAAATTGCATGGTCACACCTAAGCACACACACACACACATACGCACACACATATGCATATAAATAAATGCATGCGTGTGTGCGCCATCAGACAGGCCCCCAAAAAAATATAAATTAAATTAAATTAATAACAATTGTCGCTGCATTTGCATATTTTTATCAATTTGCATGGCCCGCTTCAATTTCAATTACGTTCGGCGTCGACATACATTCCACATTCCAAGCTATTGAATAATTTAATTAAAATTGTAAATTTTTCCATTGCGCTTCGTTTTTGCATGTGCGCCAATTGGTTTTGCTTTAAGCCCAAAAAAAAAAAAAACGACAACAACAACAACAAAATACTGAAAATGCGGCGTGTGTGAAAATTTCGCGTGCTTGTCAGCTTACGTGTGTCTGTGTGTGCATGTGTGTGTGTGTGTGTGTGTGTTTGTGAAAAATGAATGAAAATTCAAAGCAGACACAGCGTCGCTATTTGGCATAACAACAAAAACATGTGAACAATTTGTTGAAATATTTCATCGAATTTTCGTCTTTGGCTTCTTTATGAGCATTTTCTATATGCTCTCTCGCTCTCTCTCTCTCTCTCTCTCTCTCTCTCTGTGTGTGTGTTTATTGAAATTGATTTTTTATTGGCTTGTTGATGCCTTCAATTAAGTTGAGCGCATTTTTGTTGTTGTCGCATTTGATTTATGGCCAAATGTCTATGGCTAGCTGCAAAGTAGAAAAGTTCATCAATCAGTTTTGCCAAATGTTCTGCCGTATGCTGTTGCCATTAAAATCGAGCTCAGTGCGCAACTCAACAGTTGGCCAAAAAAAAAAAAGTTAGTTATAGTATATTATAGTATATATTATTTTTGGGCTTATTTAGATGTAGTATAATTAGCAGCTGCCGCACGACACGTGAGTGCCATTAAAATACTAAATAAAATACGGGCACATAAATAATTGACGTAACATTGCAGAGTGTTGGAAAAAAGTGCAAGTTTTCAATGATGGCGCCACTTCGTTTTCGTTTAATGGTCTACGGCCAGGCTTTACACTTAACATTGCCGTCGAGGAGTGTTAACAGCAGCTGGCGCTGTCTCGCGTTACCCACACGACGACCTCTGCTTGCGCTAATTGGATTCGAATTGCACGATTTATGGGCATCAAGCGGAGAGTTCGAGAACGAGTTCGAGTTCGATGCATTTATTTTTAACACTTTGGGCCGGCCGCATAAATTGCATAATCGATACGGGCATAAAGTAACAGCCCGTAACAGAGCAACAGCTGTAGCTGTAGCTTTAGCTCTAACAGCAGCTGTTAGCTGTAAATGTGTGCGTGTTGCCGATGGCGTCATCGTTGTCCACCAAACAGGAGCCAACGAACGGGAACGGGAACGGGAACCGATTGGCCATATATAGAGAACGATCGATGGATCGATCGATCGATTTATCGTCATCGTCATCGCTGGCAATTTGTTTGCATTGTGCTTTGATTAGCTGCCAATTGATTTTATTTGTCGGCCTGCCGCTTTGTATCAATTTAAATAACTGTCTGTCATACATACAAGTAGACGCATTATAAAACAAAAACTGATCGCCAATACACAAATATATATTTATATATATATATATATATATATAACTGAATCATTGGCGCGAGTCGCGCACGCCACGCAATTCGCCATGCTCCATGCTCAAGTCCATTTGCCAGATTGTAAACTATTCAACTTTGATTTTGTGTGTGTAGAAGCTGCCGCCTGCTGCCAGGCGACATTGAATGAAGTCATGAGCCAAAAATAATGACAAACAGCAATTATAACGAATTTTGTATTCTTTTGTGCGCAATAGTTTTAAGAATTTCATGCCCCTCTCACCTCTTCCCGCTGGGTGAGACGGTGGCATTTATATTAGAGATAAACATTTAAGCAAATATCCACCTGTCTGTGTGTGTGGGCCTTATCGGGGCGCCTAAATTTGGCCTGGAATGCGCCCTGTTATCGCCGCAATTAACTGTTATTATATGGATTTTTTACTGTGAATTGACAATGAGTGACAATGAAATGCCTGAAAAACAAGCGCGTGCATTGTACATGCAGGTTGCATCAATACTTATACATTTTTATATTTGTGGCAGGTGCCACAACTTAACGCTTGGCTACGCAAGCGTGCTACGACATTTGTTGCCATTAACTGTTAAGCTAGCCAGACAATTGTGCTGTTAATTGTGCTGTTAATTTGCATTTACATTTAGCCAATTACAGCGCAATGAGTTCTGTTAAAAGTTTGCTGTTAAGCTTATCCTTATGCTGTTAAAGACTGAAAGAGCTGCTACTGGAATATCTAAGAAACAAATACAGCCAAGGCACGCAAACATTTAATGTTTGCGAGCAACAGTTAAAACAACCCACCCAAGTTGTTAAAACAGCTCTCGAGACTGCATGGTACCATGGCCACAACAAAAACGAAAAACAAAAAAAAACATAAACACAGAGACATGGCGAGACTGCTTGGTACCAAATAAACTGGCACAGCGAATTGTTGGCAGTTGCAAGCTGTTGTTGTTGCTGTTGCTGTTGTTGCTGTTGTTGCTGCTGCTGCTGCTGCTGTTGGCCGTTGCGCCTGCGGTAAACGGTGCTGTTAATTGACTAGACATGCGGCATTTGCATTTCGCTGCAACTGGACACCGCTTGTAGCAGGCGCATTTTAATATGCAATTTAATATGCATTAAGTTCTGTTTGGCATCAAATTAATAGCTCAGCTCAGCAGCAGCAGCAGCAGCAGCCGTAGCAGCAGCTCATTTGCAAAATGGCGGCAGGTGGTGTCGGCGTCTGTTTGTGAATGTTGCGCGCTCGTTTAACAGCGCTAGGAATAGGATGAGCATGCATATGTATGTTAACTGTGTGTGTGAGTGTGTGCGTGTATTAATTTCGCTCACTTTGGCTGCTGCCTGCTGCTTTTGATGCGTTTTTCTATGGCTTCCAGCTGCGCTGACGTCGCCGTCGCCGTCGCTGTGACGTTCAAGCTGCATGACGCGCATCAATTGGCTGCTGAATTGCTGTTGTTGTTGTTGATCTCTCTGGATTGATCGTGTGCCTCGTGCGCGTATTGTATCCAATTAGTATTTATTAAGATTAATAGTTGCACGTTTCGTAATAGATCGTAAAAAAATATATATATCTCTGGCAACACACAACTATTTCACTCTCTCTTCCTCTCTCTCTCTCCCACTCCTCTGTGTGTGTGTGTGTGTGTGTTTGAGTATTTTATCAAGTTGTTTGCTTTTTCACTTGTTTTCTTCGTTTTTTGGTCGCTTTCGTCAATGTTTAAACAGTGTTGAAAATCATGTGCAAACAACAGCTAACAGCAACCTGTGTATTATTATTATTGTACACATAACAATAAGAGCGAGCAGTGTTAGCAAATGCCAAACAAAACACCCGCGCGAGCAATCCACTTTGTTGGCAACAAAAATAAAACTGAAGATCGCAAAACTGTTGAGGTTGCCAGACAACAACTGCTGCTGTTGCTGCTGCTGCCGCTGCTGCTGGTGTTGTCTTTTTCTTATCAGCACACACACACACACACACACACACACAGACGTGCACACATTTGTGAGAGGCAGCGACGACAGCGAGTCTGGCGCTGTTGAGAAGGCAAACGCAGCCAACCGCACCGAACCGAAGCCAACCCGCCAGCCAACTTAAGCATGCAACTGTCTGTGTGTGTGTGTGATCGCACACACACTTACACAGACTCATTATAAATGCAGCGTGGAACAGCGAGGCGTATACGTGATATGCATTATAAAATAAAACACTGGACGCTTATCATTCGAGCCAAATCAAGCCGAAAGCCGTTAAGAAACGACCACGTTTATCTTCTTATTATTATAAGCGTTTTATTTTATTATTTTTTATATTTTGTTTTTGGAATTGTGTCCTGCTTGATCTTTGCCTGGCGGCGAAAACGTTGACGTTTACCGCATATGAATATGCATTTACGTGCCGCAAAAACTAGTTGAGAATTTTTGCTTGTTGCTGTAAATTGTTTTGCCCCAGAGAAAGACTTTGCGCACAAATTGAATAACTGTGTTTTCTTGTTCTATTTATCATCTGATATCGATTTCATTTTTAGATATTCTAAACTATATTTAAAATTAAATTATTCGTATGGGCCAATTTCAGCTTTTAGTTAACAATTTTAAACTATTTTCAAGTTGAAAGAAGAAAATGTAAGATTAATTTCTTGCTTTCTTAAGCCGTAAGCCTCATAGAATGAATACTGAATTCTGATATTTTTAAGAATATATCTAAATACGCAAGGAATTCTTAGTCTTAGCTTAAACTTTCAATCAAATATGAATTTTAGCTGGTCTCTTAGTTTAATTGCAGCTTTGAGACAAGCTACAAATAACGCAACTGTACAATTGCTAATTGTTCCAGTTTTATACACATTGCGCATACGCCGCGTTTGACTTTGAACTGGCATGATAATAGATCTAATAGATGGGCTGATTTTAGATTCGATTGGTAAGAGTCGAGCGAGGCATTCACTGGCCAGCCGAGTCCGGCGTCAGTTACAGCTTTGCCAGCCAGTTAGGCGACCGTTCGACACACACACACACACACACACACACACACGGCAGACACACACACAGACATACACAGTCAATGTATTTTATTTTTTTGCTATATACGACAATTGGCATTTTATTAGTTTAATTGAAAGCAAAACAATTTAGCATGCATGGAGAACCGAAAAACTGGTTTTGACTCGTTTTTCAAATGCCCCGTAAAAAAAAATAAAAATAAAATAAAAACAGACGAATGCGAAATGGAATGAATACAAATACGTATACGAAATACAAGTTTCGAGTAGTTTGCAGCGCAGAGAAGCGTGTCACAGGTTTCACTGTACCACAGCAAATGCATATACATTGATATACATACAAATATACATATTGATACCAATATATATATGTATATATATATAAATTAAACAAGTCCATTGAGGAAATTATTTGCGTGAGTATTTCGGGCTGCGGCCGCTGATTGTGCCAATTTTCATTATTGCTGCTGTTTGCTCAAAGCTCGCATAAATCACATAATTAAGCTTTAGCGATCGTTTATATTGATATTGAATTTTGTGCATTTGAATTGAAATTCATAAATTTTCGAACCGCACTCGTTAAGCATTAAGGCCCTCTATATAGGCCCATTAGGCGTACAGCTGTTAACTCAACAGTAAGGAATTTATTTTTGGGCATACGGAATAAGACGTAAGCTGATTAAGTGGCCAGGTGATGACAGCGATATCGAAATGCAAAATCAATGCAAATTATATGGCGATGGCAAACAAGGAGCTCAGATTAAGAGTCTGTTAAGCCGCAGATTTCTTTTAACATAACATAACAGAGGATCTCTGTTCGGGTGCCTGTTAAGCTGCACATTTATCCTAACATACTGTAAAGCAGCAGATGATCTCTGATTGAGTGGCTGTTAAGCTGCACAATTAGCTTAACATAACAGAGGATCTCTGTTTGCGTGGCTGTTCACATGCTGTAAATGTTCAGTTAACAGTGCTGTCATTTGTACGACACTGTTAATTGGAATTCTTTAAAGTGTTATTATTAAATTGATTTCTTCTGGCAACTTACAACACTGCCCCACAAAAACCATTCACACAAAAAACAAACACACACACACACACACACACACCCACACAAGTTGGCTTGCAATCAAAAATGGCGACCTATATTTTAAATAGCAAATAGAAAATGCCACAAATGCTCGATATCAATTTATTTAAGCACACACACATGTGTGTGTGTGTGTTTAACATTTGTATTGCTTGTACATGCTGTCAGGCAACGGAAACGGGAAGTGAGTCACGGCTACAAAGTGCACACACACACACACACACACACGTTCGCCAAAGCAATTATAATAAACGGCCATTGAACGTGTGAACCAGAAGAATTAACAAGAAACAAACAAATAATGCGTCAAATGCACAAGATTTGTGTGTACTCTAAGAATGCGAGAAATGCCAAACACACACACACACACACACACACACGCACACACACACACAATTAAAATCAATTCACATTTCGATTGAATGCAATAAAAAGATTCATGAGAATTTTTGTTTTACTTTAAATATACATATTTTTTTGTGCTTGGCTTGCAGCTAAAGTCTTTGGCCCCATTAGGTGTTGTGTGTGTGTGTGTGTAAAAGCGTGGACGAGATAATGATCTGATAATATGATAACGTGATAATGTATTTTTTAAATAAATACACATATATATAAATATATGTGCATATGTGAGCAGAGCTTGACTTACAAAGGCCTGAATTCAGCTGCGATTAAAGACAAAGTGATCTTAAGCTTAGAAAACAAATGAATTTATTTAGACAACAATCAATTTATTATAATTGATTATTTTTTATATAGTTATAGTTATGGGTATTAGATTAACTACAACCGATTCCTTGTGGAATAGCAATATAGCATACTTTTGGGCTGTTGGCCTGCTTTTTTTAATAGCTGGAGTTGTTCGTCATCAGAGCTTTTACTGTACTTCAATCCAGTTCTCTCGTAGTTGGATCTAAAGTATATTTTGTGCTTGAAAGCATTCGGAAATAAATCAACAAACATTTCAACATTTTTGAAAGCTCTATCATTCGTTTCAATATTAGGTAATTACAGGGTATCTGTTATAGGGAAATTCCCATTTTCCAGCAGTTCTGCAAAAGGAATTGTCTTACACTTCTTCTGGCTGGTTATATTCAATGCATACGTCAAGTATATCAATATTCAGCTTATTACAGGGTATTAATTACGCAAAGCAGAAACGTTTTACTTATACTTCTTTTGCCATAGTTTTGTATACCCTTCGACTAGCTCTTTTGGACTGCTCTACTCAAAATATTCAACTCCTACGTTAAGCATATCAAGAGCCAGTTAATTACAGGGTATCAGCAGTAATTCAGTGTATTTGCTACGGCCAAGGACGGAAGAAATGTGTGACGCCGGAGCGTCAAGTGCGGCTATAAAAGGCCAAAACTTGCACCGTTCAAGAGGGGAGGGGGGGGCTCGCGGTGTCGCGCCGTGTTTGACGTCAACTAAAGTTGGAAAAATTATAAAAAAAAAAAGAAACGGCAAAACTGCAAAACTGCAAACTGCAAACTAGTTTGCCAGCCGATTACATGACATAAAATCAATCATTAACATTTGTAAATTGTGTGCGACTTATTTGGTAACCCGTCGTCGTTGTTGTTGTTGTTGTTGTTGCTGGCTAAGACTAGAGAGGGGGGGGAGAGACAGGCCACAGCTTGTTGACGTTGTTCAGTTGGATTTATAATGGCAAAAGTAACAATTAATAATTTATGCCCCGAACCCATTGAAATAGTTTGAAAAAGGGTAAAATGGCTGCTGATATAATCAAGTCCAACTGCAAGTCGAGCATTTCCGCTTGGCGAAACAAGAACAAGAACAGAATATATAATTGCATTTTCTCAATCTAAGCTAAAAATCGATTCTCAGTTTTGTTCAAATAAACCAATCTTGAACCTCTGCTATATTAAAGAGAGATTAAAAGTATTTCACTTTTAAGGTGTAAATAGATTCTCAGTTTTGTTCAGATAAACCAAACTTGAACTGTAATTTCTGGCATATCAAAGACGGCTTAGAACTATTTAACTATTTAACTATATTTGCGCAGGTAGAGCTTAACGCTTTAGTATATTCAACTCTTGTATGCCCTATTAAAGCTCTGCAAGTTACAAAAAGATCGGACAATGAGTACCGAGTTTTAGAAGCAGAATGAATATGGCATATCTCTAGATGGATAGATGGGCTGGCCGTTTGAGTCTAGGGTATTTGCTAGTCGGGCACTGTCGAATAGAGCACTCTGTGCAGTTATTGTTGCCGTTTTCGGTTTCGCCTGTGACAGGCCCCCCTTTTTGACTGTTTTAATGGCACTTTTGTCAATTGATTGTTAATATTTTTTATGGGCTCATATTACAACATTTCATTTGCCAGCCTGACATAAGAACGCGTTCAGCTTTTACGACGCACAGCAGCAGCAGCAGCAATAATAACAATAAAAAATAAAAATAAAAATCAGTTAATTGCTTCATTGGCAGCATAAATACGTATGGCTGGCTATAGATATAGTTGATATAGTTGATATATGGCCATTAAAGGCCAATTTAATGCGCAGACACACACACACACACGCCATAAAAATAATGTTGCTGGCAATGGCAGAAAAGCAGAAAAGCAGAAAATAGATATATAGAAAAATTTATAGCAAAAATAAGAAACTGTTGCATCAGCCAATTTGAAAATGATTTGATCTGGCCATGATAACAATTAAATAATTATTACACAGCGAGAAATTGAGTTAAAATAGCCTCGAACTCTGTGTTTGGC